CTGATGGGATAATTTACTTCACTCTTATATTTTATCTCGAAAACATTTTGCGTTCAAAACAATGTACGACATTATAGATGTTTGTTGACAGAAATGATTTTTAGCTCTAAGATACGTAGTTGTTTTTTTTTTTTCGAAATTCATACTTGTTAAATAACTCAAGTCTCGTTGTTAAGACCCCGGGTCACCAAATATTATCTACGACATAAATATTATAACATGATGGTGATTTTTGGTTAAGCTTCGGTAGCTAAGAATACTGTACAGTTAAAACGGAAGATACATTCAGAGTAACATCAAATTAAATAATAAGCCATTTGGTTAATACATCAGCAGAATGCATCAAAGGCTTTAGTATAAGTATACAATTTTAAATGTCTACTCTTCTACAGCTCCGGTCGTGTAGGTAATTCCATTAATCTCCAACATTAGCATTGAGGGGACAGGTCGGCGCCATTTGATCCGGTAGACACGACCGCACTTGTTTTTTGTACGAAAAGCGACACATCAGCATTAATAATGAATTTCTCGTTTCAGCCGCTTTACATTATTAACACTGTTTTATCAAGGAAAGGGAAGATGGGAACTGGTGCTTTAGCGATCTTTAATAATACGTTTGAAATTTCTTTCAAAAGATCGTCACTCGTAAAATATGTACAGATGCTAGAACCTTTTGTGACGACATCGTATTACCTAAAATGCCCTAGTTACATGTGCAAGTAAATACCTCTTCATTCGAATATGTAACTAGACGAAATTTCGACTTACATTATGTTTGAGCGTGTGCGTCGTTGAGCAGAAGGTCTTTCGTCCAATTGCAGAGTTCGCCCATAGCAGTCACGACACCTCCATTTATACCCAAATTTAGCCGAGCCCACCCGAACACCCGAATAATCCACTGAGGGCCATTCTACGTCCTCGTTTGTTGGAACGCCAAATCGCAGCGCATTATTCTAATTCGCTTCCACGATAGCTTTCGAAGAACCTATTTATTTGCGCTGTAAGCTAAATCAGAGCTTGACTTGAGGACGAGGTAGGAATTATCGATATCCACAACTAAATAATACATCTCGCTTGATGTAAATTCTAATCGAAACTATTAATTCGCTATTGTAATTTGCGTTTCTTACTGTTTGACTTTCACTGGAAGATCCATTTTTAAAATACGCTTGCATCTTTTTCGAATAGATTATCGTCGCCACAAAGGCAAGTGGCAATCTTTATTTCACAGGGAAGTCATAGAAGTGAAAGATGTTCTGATATAAAAACACGTGCCCGATGCTAATAAAGTTGGGCAATATCGGAAAGGTATTTTGTATGAACGGTTTTCCAGGGCGGCCAGAAAAAAGGGACGTAAAACGAAAAGAAACGAATGTGGAAATATGGCCAAGTCATATTTTATTTACTGCATACAATTGAACCTTTATCGCAGTTTGTATCGAGTTAGACTCTCTAGTATTATTTACTGCTTAGGGAGATGTCAAATGTGCTTGGTTATATTTTCTATTAAATTCTAATTTGAAATTAAAGTCAAGGGAATAGGCGTTGAAAAAACAAACAATGTTTGAATTAATAGAGTTAAAACGTCAACAATTTGTAAATAATTATTAAAAAAAAGCATCATTGTATTCAAGAGAAAATAAAAGAAGGTTTTTTAATTAAAACGATAAAACAATGAAATAAAGTGCTGCCAATCCAGACTATAGAAATGTTCGAATCACCAAACACTGTAATTGAATTCGGAGGAAAGAATTTAGCAAGAAACGCTCAACAATTTGTCAGTCAGCATGGCGGGGATCCCTCATGATCTCGCTTCATCATGGTTTTTTCGTCAGGCTCGAGTCTCTTACACCCTCTTAGAATTTTTATTGCTTACTCGCTTTGAATACTTTGTATACTGATATAAAGTTTTACTTAAAAAAGACTTAAATTCGCTCTCACGCCCAAACACCCAAATCGAGCTTCTTTATTACATTCCTCTGGCTTACTTTTGTCTTTTTACATCTTAGAATAAAACTTTATTACTAAATATCAATTTAATATTTTGTTATTACTACGAGAAGAAACTTGTTTTGTGATAAATAACTGTTTATAATTCACTTCGAAGAATTTTTACTTTGTTTTCTGTGTTTTTTGTCAAATCTAATTATAACTGAAAAAGTGACATCCCACGGAATCGGGCTATTTTTATAATGGCTTAGTAAACAAGAAACATTCATTTTGTGATATGCATACATACCATATTTATCATTGCAGTGCAAGCGTAAACGCAGTACACATATTTAATCATTTATCCTTTAGTAACATAGTTCTGTTCCGAGACGCTGCGAGGGAAATAAATATTTATGTTGTAATAACTCATGCATTGATACAGGAAAGCTTTGCAGCGAATACAGTTTAGCCGCCGCGCGGCGCCTTGGCTCAGCCGACTACTTGGGTGAAAAATACCTTTTCATCTTGGGAATTCGAGCGGGGATGCCGAACTCTTATATTTATAAGGGGGTACGTGAAATAAAGAAACCGAATGGATGGTAAAAAACGTACGGAGACTCGCCTGGAACGGCGGTAGATCTCGCTGATTGTGAGATACGCCGCACCGCACCTTGAATTATTTGACAGTTTGAATTGTCACCGACCCGCTCGATCCTATTGTTATTTTTCTCCATTTCCCACACGTGTCGGTGGATAATGCGCGGCTTGTAATACCAAATGTGCCAGTGTTTTAAATTCAATCTCGGTTTGAGTATTTATGTTAAGCATCACATACAAGTATATAAGTCTACCAAATTACGGCCCTTTAGGATTAATCTCACGACTATCGAGGCTAATACAAAAAATGTATGTAATAATCAACTCTTGCTCTTCTGTACAGGGAACTGTAAATATCCAATGATTTTGATCTACTAGTATAGATAATTATTAAATCATGTGCATGTTATAAGTAAGCAATGTAAATTTTAATTCAATCTATTTTAGTGAAGTCGAAGGCTTAGAATGGAACTTGTACTACGATAATGCGATATCTGTGCAAATCCTATGGTCATTAATTGGAAAGTTCCATTACAGAGATCCGTATGCGTATAGGATGTTACAGAGCAATAGAACCTGCTAGTAATATGATTGTTCTCAGAGGGACCGTGCTGGGAGCATTAATTACTATGACGTATATCACACATAATTATGTTTTGGAACAGGTTTCTGCTATGGAACATTTAGCCTGTTGGGTGATCTTCGATACAGTTTTATATGTAAAAGATCACACGTGGTTGTTCTTTGTAAAAAGAAAGGTATCTGCAATTTTTAGACAGTATAAAATATTGAACAACATTTCAATTGTTGCTTTAGTTGGAGTTGAACGAAAAAGCATATTTTGATGAGATTTTTAATGAACCGGAAATGAAAAAAATAGTAAAAGAATAATTAACTCGCCTCTAGTCAGCCTTATACGCTTATGAAGTAAAGCTTGTGAAGTCTTCTTAGGAAGTATTCACATATGCGTGAAACGAACCTCATTCGATTCTGAAGGGAGCTGAAGGGAGGATTCTTATTCAAAATAAGACGACTTCAATGCCCCGTCGAGAGCTGATTCAAATGCCTACGCTGATTTTCTCATTTCCAAAGCAATCCTCTCGTAAAATTGTAAGATGGAGATAAATGAAACGTAATAAGTACATCTGGATATTTCATACATAGATCAATGCATCAACAGAAAATATAGATCCGTAAACATATTTAAATGCGTAAAATAAAAAATACACGTATGCCCTCTGTTTTTCTATGTGGAAATTTATCGAGATTTTCTATTTTTCATATAAATAATCCGCTTATTTCGTCCCATCGAACCCAGTATTGTAACAGGATTTGCTAGTTGGTGCGTGTAGTCGTTTTTACGGACTATAAATTGACTATTTTAGAATATATAAACACGGTTGAGCTCCCGGGTTACGATAATTTAAATATTTTATATTTTTTGTTATCGAATATTGAAGAGATTAAATGATGAGGACCTAAATACTGGCCGTCGGTACAAGATTCTTTCATTACTTTTTCTAATTCGCCCCTCATACGTGTTTGAGTGCACAACGCATCGCGACGTAGCCTAGAGCGTCGACAATTACGAGCAGAGTACTAGACGGCTAATACAAATCGTTCGCCCGGGGGGTGCGTTTATCCGAGGCTCCCTCACACCTCCCTCACCTTCCCTCTCGCCGAGAAAACTATTACATCATTGTTCCACCGCATTCCGATTTTATTTCAATCGTGGAAATACAGACCGTCCTGTAACAACGATAGGGTACAAATTCGTTTCCGTCCGCGGTGCCTGCGTCTCAATTCATTGTCCGCTGAATTGTTTCTACAAAGGAAACATATTTTGCAATATTTTTTTGTTTATCTCTGCTGCTTTGAATGTGGCCTAGTGTCCCGCAAATATGCTTTTAGACGTCTATGTACATTTTAATTTCACTTCAACGCATTCCTTATTTTTCGATCGCATAGCATCTCTTACATTTTTATTAAAGGAAAGCGTAGCGAGTGCTGCAAACGTCTAAAGCTCCTTGAGGAGTAATTATGTGGTACTGTGAAACAGTTCGAGAGTATAATTAGTTAGCCATTAGTCTAATATATTGGTACTCAACTGCCGCTCGGTGCACTTCAATGTTAAAAAATAAAAGGAAAAGACCGGATATGAAAAATTCCACGCGAATCGTTTTATAAGGAGCGGACTGCTTGAGTTTATAAACCGTATGTATTTATAACTTATATAACCTTATATTTTGTATGTAAGGGCCTGATAAATATATCTATATTTAGTGTATATATCAACCTATCAACTATTTCAATTATGAATTTATCGAAGCGTATTTCCAGTCGTATTGTTATGTTGAGATTAAAAATGTAACGGCGTCAAATCGCCGGTGGCTTGGGCCCCGGAGGCCTCCGAACGGCCGTCAGCGCATAACCGAATTAGAGCAATTTATGTCGGGAAATTGGGACCGTTATCGGGGGGCCGATGCGCCGATGCAGCGGGAGGGCCGCGCCGCGCCGCGCCGGCATTCCAGACATCCACCGTTTCGGGCCCCCGCTAATGCCGGAACAATGCACGAATCCGGACAGACAGATCCGAGCGGCCCCGAAGATAAACGACAACCGTGGAGCGTTGTAACAACTGATTGATATACGGCCTCCGTTGATATCGCAGCTAACGGCTGAGCTGAAATTCCGGACCCGCCTCGGTTACAGTTCGAGTGGCGCTGACGTTAAGCGATGTTTAGTTAGCGAGGCGGACGGATAAGGGTTGCACTCTACGGGCGAACTTGATGATATCAACCGTAAACCAAAGCGTGCTATGATTAAATACAGATGTATACGTATTTGAAATTTAATGTTACTATCGCAAATAGTCAAACTCTCAATACTAGATTACAATAGATATAATTTCAATAAATGTAGCTTATTAGGTCTCATGCGACGAATATGAATATTTGTGTTACGTTTTGGAATTTAAAGGATATTTTGAAAGTTTGTATTGATTCTCTTTTGAAACACATTTGCACACATTTATTAAAGTACTTCCCCGGTATCCGTAAGACCTGTGTTTAATACATCGAATGGAATTTATTCTTATCCGCAATTAAAATCGACGATTTCCAGACCATTTCCATATTCGAACCAATTCTTATATTGTCAACAGACGAGTAGAATAAATTCTAAAGTACATTTTCGCGGTAACGCGTTGATAGCCGCAATAAAGAAAATGCTAAGAATTAAGATAGTCAAGTAACAGTAACACTGCGTCTTGCGCGGTAGTTATCGGCAAAGCCAGAGACGGTCAGAGTTTAGGGTTGTACAACGGCTAAAACAATAGCGGATCAAGCATGCAACGGAACTTTCTCAAAGACACCCTCCAGTGCGTGCAGCGATTAGCAAACGCTCCCTTACTAACTTTATATTGGTTGGGGAACTTTATCGTTAGAGTGTGTATAGCCTTCAACTAAGTGATTGAACAACACGCCGGCCCTTAAGCAAAATATCAGTGGTCTGAAGATTTCTTCTTACAACAAATAAAAACGCCTGTGATTCACTTTTCGGCTTCCCTCGGAGATTTAACAAAAATTGGTGTCGAATAAGTCGCAAAACAACTTCCACAGCCAAAAAAGGGACTCATTTATTTTTTTCCCGTTTATAAATCCAAGAATAATATTCGCGTACAAGATATTTTTGCTTAAACATCCCGACCAAAATTCTTGTGTATAAAGTTGTCTGCTTAACATTAAATATAAGATCGCTTTAGCGAAGCATTTAGACTGATAAAGACGCCATACATTTTTATGAGAAAAAAGATAAAAAATATAAGCTATCCATGGCGAAATTCGAAAAGCAGAGTACACTCTTGTCGGTGGGGGCTGACGAGGCGCACAGTCACAAGAAGGGCGTAAGTGATCCTGTGAAACGTTGCAAACGACACCTTGAAACCGAAAATCTGATGTAAATAATAGAAACAACATCCTGAATCGACATGGGCTTTAAAGATTACGCTGGCCGTTGGGCTAATTAATTTTTAAGTCGACATCTTGGTTCCAAGCGGCGGCGGGCTTCGTTCAGTGAATTTGAGTATCATTTACATATTAATTTTACATAATGCTTCTTCTGTTGGGGCCAAATTAATTAAGACTGAAGCTTTCTACGCCAAAATCTTAAATTATTCTTTACGATTTTTTATATTGTATGAAAAAATAAATTAATATGTAAAACGAGTACTAACAAATAAATGTGAAAGCCCGTGTTCCAAATTCCACAAACCGCTACTGATGTTTTTAAACTCGACTGAAGACTGTTGATAGCGAGTGTATAAAGGTAGAATTAGTGTAAGTGTACCCAGCCCCACGCGTGGAATCGTACACTAAAACGCTGCAGTCGTTATGTCGTGAAGAACGAAATTTCCGCCGCGACCGTTCGGGCCATAAATCCGACGTTTCCTAAATCCTCGAGAGGGCGCCGTCGAGCAGCTTTCATCAGAAAATTCTCCATTATCTGGAGGAAATCGTTACCGGGGCTCAACCTCGCCCACCCTTCGGCCCCGGCCGGGTCGGGCTTTCATTTACGGCGCCGTTGCGTGCACGCGTCCCCGCGGCCTTTGCTTCAGGTGGGCGTAGCCATTGTGTTCGGCATTTAAGTGGCTCATTTGATATTCTCAGACAGTTTGCATTCGGTGCTCGCACGTGGGGAGAGACGGGCCGGCCGAAAGTACCGCCGTCACGCACGCACACACCGGAGCTGGCGACGGCGTGGTACCAGGCGTGGAAACGTGAATGTGGTCCCGCGCGATACCGCAGTGGCATGCATGAAAGCATTCCAATATCCAATACGACTTTGCGGGCCGCCCGCACACGCATCCAACTCGGGTCGCGCCGGGTTTGAGCAATGTTTATCCACAAATACACTAATGAAGGCACCTACAAAAGCGACTAGATTGTTAATTAAACTTGCTCAAAATGTGACACCCTTACGAAATGACGCCGTGCCGGGAGCACAGTGCACGGGTTGAGTGTTATTGAATTAATTTGTAATCAGAATTCTCGGTGTGCGTTCTTGGATGTAATAATATTATTAATTTATTTATCTCTCTTTGAATTATACTTTAAGGCGTCTTTGTGATATTACACATTTGATCTGGTTTCATGTCACACGCGTAGAACCATTTTAATGTACATAATAAACAAATATTAATTGTGAATGGTACAATTCTATTAGCATACATGAGATTACTGTAATAGTACGCATTTAGATATTGTAGATAATAAACTGTAAATATAATAAATTATAGAAACGTAAGTATATACTAAATGACACTAATTACTAATTTTATTGGTTCATCATTAAAAAGTGGATACTAATATGCATTTTTTGTAAAATTGGTCTATCTACTCACTAAGCCCAATATTTACGCATTTAATTAGTATAATTACACTTACACAATATTACTTAGACATTAAAAGGAATTCAAAAGAAGCCATCATTAGGCCGCCGACCAAAAGGAATAACCATTCCCTTAATCATTATTCTTAAAGACTCTTCATTAAATTCCTTTTATCTCTCCCGGGATATTTCCTTCGCTCGGCATCAATCACATTCACTCCGAAAAACTCCTTGGCTTTATTCTAAACTCTCATAATAGGTAATGAAGGTTTTGATCGTTGCGGGCGGCTGGCTTCTCCGATTACTTTGAGAGCCAGCACAATGAAGCCCCGGCTGTAGCCGATGCTGAATTCTGAAAAGTTCCTTAGTCCGCATCCACGCTAGATGCGGGGCTAATTACTGCGAAACTTTTGCAGATAGACACCTGCGCTGAGATGCGACCACCGGACAAAGACCGAAGTTATCGACGACTTACAGGCGACGACGTCGTGCCAGGCGAAATTAAACCGAAGTCTGTTGAAGAAAGACGCGTTTTGGGGGAGCTTGTACGGCGCGTACGACGATAAATTGATACTGAAACTATTCGATATTACTCTTCTCTGAAGATATTCCTTTCTAATTAAGAATTTGGTGCAAACGCCGTGCCATTGGAATGAGCTACAGTAAATAAGCTAAACGACAAGTCCATGGTTTATTCTTTTACTTCAAGTTGAAGTTACTGTTAAACTGTTGCATATTACTCCAATATAAAAGTTTTTTTCGTCCTTTTAAAAAAAATCAAATATCTTACGTCCAGTGCCTACCACAAAATCTATTACGAAAATCCATAATATCTATTTGACGTTGTTGTTTTTTGAGTAAATAAATATTACGTTTGGTAAAGAAAATAAACGTCTAGCAAAAGTTTTCAAATACACCGGCCTATCAGGGTGTTTTCAGGAGCTATGCTAAATATCGCGTTTTGAACCGGTTCCGCTTCGAGGAAAAATTAGCGCTACTTGTGAACAACCATGGCATGACAGCGCAAATTCAGACTACTCGTACAATTTCCCAAAAAGTTTTACGTAAATTGAATTCCGAGAGCGACGCTGACGGAATTTAGGTCTTAAAAGTGATGTGTTGCGGTGCCGTGTTTTCTGGACATACCACCGTACTACTAAATCCCTGTCTGTATAATGATATCTTGGATGTACGCGAAAACTACACGTGATTAAAAAATATTTAGAGGAGTTTATCGCGTTTAATATGTTTCTATATATGCGAATTTTCGAACACTTTACGGCGCCCACGGTCATGTGACAGATGGAGTTGTTTTGCGGCCTAATGTCCTCGTAAAGCCGTGCTGCCGTCAGAATTTTTTAATTTTTCATTTTAGTCCAATCACGCAGCTTAAAGCGCTTTGAAGCATTTGCTTGCATTGTAAATGTGATTGGGTTAAATTTTATGAATTATGGGAAGGTACGCGTTAAAAACGCGATGAGAGCTTCAAAACAAAGAAAAGGCGGTAATATATATATTTTTGTAGTATTAAAAAGCTCAAGCAATTAATTAACCTAAACTTGTAATTCTTTCATTTGGAACATGAGGACAGTAGTCAATCTCTTATTATGTTATAAATATATTTGGATTTTTACAGAATATGTGAACAATCTAAATTAATTTAATTATAGTGGGTCTTCTGCTCAGCATAGCTGGATGGTTTACTCTGAAACTAAAAGGATCACTTACCGGTCCAAACTGTTCGAAGTAATTCTTGACATCCTCCAGCGTTGTGGGTGCTGAGAGTCCCCCAACGAAGATTTTCTTTGTCCTGGTCACCATCTGAAACGAACAGAATAATTAGAAAATGTCACAATTTAGGAGTTTCTTATTTAAATACTATAATCTTAATGAACGTTGAATAGAAAATTCGTGCAGAACAATAATTTTATTACATTTTTAAACTTTAGTAGATTATTTGGTGCATCAAATAAAAATAATCGTCAAGATATCGTTACGGCTTTTTAAAATATCTTAGTCACGGTATGTAAATGTATATCCGGTATCGAGTCTCGGTTCGGTTCTTTGATGCTTTAATAAACCTACTTATTTAATGTTTGGTTATATTTTTATTTTAACAACTTCGAATAGTAATAAATATAGCTATTAATAAGATTCAACCATTTTTTCATAATTTCTAGCAAACAGTTCGCTCTTAATTGACCTTCAAAGATAAAATGTAACCTTGGTGTTACTTTACATAAATGGAATAAAACCGTTGGTAAATAAAAAAAAAATATGGCTCATCACATTCTATAACGTAAAAACAATTACCAGGGATGATGGGCAAGACACAATGAACGTCGAAAATGTAAGAATAATTATCTTTAATACATTATGCATTCCTCCCACGCTGAGGTTACCACGTATATCTTTCAAAGAAAGCATATTACCGACGCAATTACTTTGCAGATAACTGGTGCTTGTCATCCTACTTCATATGTTATCATATAAATTTCTTTATATTTGCATCTACTTGTATGTGCGGATTTGATTTAAAAAGTGACTGATGTGTTTCCTGTGAATATGTATTTTTTTCTTTATCTACTGAATAGTCTAGGTGGTAGTTATTTATTGGATCTGTAGTTTGTTTTAGGACTTGGTAGGCGGAGCGTGAAAACATATGTAGAAAGGGGACCTCAAAACTACACAAGCTTACAAAAAACAATTACTAATTAATATTATCAATATGTTGGAATATTAGTTTAGTCAGTTTAATAAGCCAGTAAAAAGTAAAAATTTATAAACAAATTATAATATTGAAAATTTAAATGAGACTTTTCAAGGAATTGATTGAATACAGCAAAACGCAATTTAGATTAGGACAGAGTATGAAAACAATCAAAGCGGCACCGTTAAAAGAGGATTTCATTATTACGTCAATATCGCAGCACTGCCTCATCTCAAAGGCTCTACGTACTTCCTTCCTGAATATTTATACCAGGTTAATGACGATAAAAAAAATACAACCTTACAAGAAGGGCGATGTCACTTGTACATGATTCGCTTTTCATAAAGAAACAGACGAAGGCACAATTTTTATTATCACCTCAAATAGACACACATCAATCGGATGGAAAAGTTAAAAAATTGACCCTTCATTCGCATCTAAACTTAACAGTGAAAACAGTATTGTGAGAAAGTTTTTACGGGTCTACTAGCGACATTTTAAAATAGTTGTTGAAGCAATGCTCGTGCTCTGAGAAAATTTTGTTTTCGCGCTTACAACTAACCTTCCCTACCATTACGAAATGAATCAGATTGTTTGTTAACGTTTCAAAGATTTTCTTTGCAACAAAGATATATTAGAAAATGTATTAAAGGTCCAATCGATTCGTTGATGGTCCCGGGGAATTACGTTACAATTTCAGCAACCGAACCCCATTACCGAAAGTGGCGAACGATAATATCACCGTGGAAATTGAATAAAACAAGATTCGTAAGTCTAATGTAAGTAATATAAGTGGCTAAGTGGGCCCGGGCTCCGGCGACGATCCCGAACGAAATCACACTCGAAATATACGTAAATGATGAGTAAGTAGCACGGCGGCGCGGAAAGTGGGGTCGCTACGTGTCCAAGTAGCAGTCGCTCCCCTCCACCCCGGCCTGCCTTTCGCCGTATCTCAGCACCGGCGACGATGCCCAGCACCCTCTGTTACGTCTCTTTTAAATCGTCTCTCACCTCTTAAACTTTTCCTCGTCACACCTCATTAAAACTTACCAATTAAGGAAGTTGCCAGTTTTATCTCTGTTCAAGTCGAGCATCGAATCCTCAATGCCGTGTTAATTTTTTGCAGTCAAAGAACGTCGACGAGTTGTATACAACCGATGGGACACATCGAAATCGGAAGGATATTAATCATTCCAGTTCGTTAATAAATTTTGTTACGGCAAACAATACGAGGTAGATAAATAAAAAATTAATAAGAGCCATTCATTAATGGGATTGTAAAGGGTGGCCCCGTGGGAGCGAGTGTCAGGTTGGCCCGGTAGCCACGTCAGCCGAAACTGTTGGCAATTACCTTAAATGTGGACAACGCAGTACATTCCACAGGGAAAATTATTATTCACCGCTATCCAATTTTTGCTTCGCTCTAAATTGGAACTCGCTACCTCTGATTGCCTGAATTAATTATTGCCGTGTGTGGCATCGGTTGTCCTTCACAAATTGCACAGCAATATAATTTTCAAAATTAACCAGCTTTAAAATAATTATGTATATGAGTTTAAAGAAAAAAAAAAGTATATTTTTCAATTTATGTTCACGATAGCAAATCGCTTATCGATTGTGATTTTAATGTAAATTGATTATCAAGGAGTAATAGATATATGTATCGCGTAAAATGATTGACATTGAACTATCAGATAATTTAGCAGATATATACATATTAATAAACATAAAAGCGATACCAATGACGCGTGGAAATAAAACGACAGCGATGTAAAAAAAATACGATTAAAAAAACCGAATGTGTTAACCATAAAACTGGCGGTGTTCATAAACGACATTATCCCTCGACTCGTTAACGGCGCACCGCCGTTCGACGCTGCCATTCCGCCGTGAAAAATACAACAATTTAATTTAGCCTAACTTGACCACGGGCAAAGGCAAACACCGAACCGACGAAAAGCTACACACATCAATTACAACTCCCGTGCTCAGCAATGGCGTCGGTGTCCCTTTACGCGACAAACAGGCCCGCAAGTGAGTCTAACTCAATTCATAATACGCCAGCACCAGGCTGCATGTAACGCCGTTGAATTTTTTACATTTTCACGTGGGCGCAGTGCTGATATAGCGCGATACAATTTCGCCACCGGAAAAATGAAACCACCGTACATTTTGTCAGTTTGAATTTACAATTCAGTCGAAATTGCCAAACACAATAACTCGAATGCCGAATATTCATGCGTGTTAATAATTGACCGATTCGCGGATGTAAAAAAAATTCCACAGTTACATTTTTGATCAAGTGATTCTGGTTAGGGACGCTTTAATCCTGGATTAAAGTGTGAAAAGAGAACTTTTGCGCAGCTGAAACAATATTAATCAATTTTCACAGAGAGGCAATCATTTGGGAAGAACATCGCACGAATGCCGGCAAAAAGGTCACCCGCAAACCACCCAAAGCTGACATTGCATTTCATTTTTGCCCGGCCGCCAGCCTCTGGCTTGCTCGTTCTTTGTCTTTTGGAACAAATATGTTCTTTGAAGTAACTACTTTTCCATTATTAATACATATGCGATATACTGTTATTTATATAGTCTACAGTCTGTTTCAGTGATATTACCACGGAGAGAACTCGATTAAGCGGCGATCTTAAATACTTTGTTCACAATCTAACTATAGCATAAAAATGAAAATAGTTTTAATTTTAAAACTATCCAACCCATAAGCCCAGAGCGAAATGAGCGCTCTGTGTACTGAATGTATTCAGGGAATGATCACGTCTACTCGTCTCGCTCACCTTATCTCCTTCACAGCCCATTAGGCCTCACACGGGGTGTATGCCAACAGATCTGTGCAATTTGTAACAATACAGAGACAGCGCGGATAGCAAACGACGATACCCCGGTGCGTCTCGGCTTTGGTTGCCAGTTCCGCTAGTATGGTCGGAGTCTTAAACGCGACGTGAAATAAGTGCTTACTCGGAATCGTGTGACATCAGGCGCACAAGACACTAACCGCGTACGTTCTAAATGGCAGACATTAACGAAACGTTATTGCTTCTCGGCTTCACCAACACTTGCACAGTATTAATCTCTATCTCGTTCTGATGCACGCCGTCTGCTCTGTAGACTAGATAATTCCGAGAATAACTGGCGGTTGGCTCAGCCGTGCATTGTTATATCAAAGTCGAAATGAATTAATGTATTGGGACGTGTAAAGCGCTGAGGAGCTCTTCAGTCATATTATTACGAGGCGTGTTGGTTTATTTATCTCGATGCAGTCGCGGATACGACGGCGATTTGCGATAAAATTTTACTTACACAGAACGTTCATAATAAAAAGTTAGGGAGCAATGAAAATCTCATCGGAATTACCACATGTTTTCATTGAATATTCGATAAAGCACAAACGAGAGAATACGAAGAAAAAATAGGAATGCATGTAAATGAACAAACTTCTTTGAATTACATCGTGAGCTGAATAAATAATGCCTGATCGATGCGTTGATGGGCCCATGAAAAATTTAAAGATGTTTCGTACAGTCGTAGAAATGGATGAATTGGATTATACAGTTTTGTTCCTTTCATTTTTGGCTTATTCATCTCGCCGTATAAGAACAAAAGACGCTACATTTTTCAATTTGGATAAAAGTAATACAGGTACAATTACGATAATTAGAATAGCGCGCAAAAAAGAAAAAGAGAAACAAAATGTGCAAACATAACTGCACGTCCTCCACGAAAACATAATGATTTTACCGAGCACATAAAATGTACCCAGATGTGAATATGCTACTTCAGGAATGGTTACACGAGCGCTCACGAAACAATAGGCACATTTAGCCGTCTAAAAAGAGAAATGGCTTCGCGTACTTGTCATCGAAAGCCATTCGAAACACATTGGAATGACTCCATATACGCAAGGGTTCGACGTTAGTTGGTATATACATCTACACATTTCTTTTGTGCAGTCGCGCCCAGCGAGTGGATGAAAGCGAGACTTTGAGACGCCTTGTCACTTACTCCCCCTTCTTAGTAAATGCAAAAAACTATGCTTCCACAGAGTCTATTGTTAAGATTGACTGCGAGGCCTTTGTTTCAAAACATGCAGACAGATACCAAAATTACTGGTAGAAGTATGACAAGAATTACTCTAGATGGTAATTCTGGGATACTTCCTAAGAATGAGTAAATACTTTCGTCTATAATGCATTATGGACGGTTATGGAGGCTCTGAAGAAGTTTCCTTCCTAAGTAAGTCCCGTCCTAATGTAAAGATTTATATCCTATTAAAAGTGAAAGATAAAAGATATATGTCGAGTTTTACTTTTCGCTACTCGTAATCAAATAAAACTTGATTTTATGTTTCCAGTCAAATTATAAGCCGAGGGGAGGGCGAAATAAAAAGTGAATAATGAATGCGGAGGCCGAATCCGGGACCGCGCGACCGTAGCAATTATTTTGTTTCGAGTACCATCAACATGGTTCGTTCTTTCAAATTTTCATACATTAAGCAAATGTCGAGAATGCGTAATAAGGATCTAAATGTTGTAAGCCGTCACAGGGCCGCTAAGAGCATTCATTTATACCCCGAGGGACTTGACCGCCGGACATATATTAAATGGCCTCAGAATTCAATACATTGTTACGATTTTTTTCAACTTATATATTATTATTGACAACAATAAAAACGAAAATTAATACGAAACAACAGCAAGTAGCAATGTTTTACATCAAAAATGTTCTCCGTAAGTATATGACAGCACTAAGTTTATCCTCTTATAACACTCAACATCGTGATCTTAACCATTAGCCGTATAAATATTTGCCACTTGGAAAAAATATCCTATGACATCACTCAACAACTTCTTAACGTCTCTAAAGGCTTTTGAGCGCTGAGGAGACACTAGAAAATGTATGGTTCGCCATCCGTAAGTGTAAATAAATAAAAACTACAGAAACAAGCGTCGCCTATGACGAAGGCTGCGTACAAAACATGCAATCCCTATGAATGATTGCCGTCTGACTGAACTCTATATGCCTTGTAACCGTATTTTTTCCCCGAATCCCTACTAAAAGAAAACGACGTCCCTATAAAAAGACAATGTAAAATGAGCCGTCCTACATACGTGTACTAGTAGGATTTGGCATGACACTTGTAGCGAGGGTTGAACGTTTTCGTCTCCACATCGGTCGATAGTGTTGACGAACAAAATAAGCTCCCCTCCGGGTGGGAGTGCGGTGTCAAGAGGCTATAGGATTAAACTTAAACTGGGTTTGCCCGCAGTTTAATTATACAAAAGGTATGTACTTACTCACGTAGTACTTGCGAAAATGTGCTGTTCCTCTGACGTTAGATAGAAATGTGTTAGTAATATCCTTTTGCAAGATTAAAGCGTATGTACGTTTTCGATATTAACTATTGAAACTTATTCACACATCTTTCATTCTTAAATTTATCTATTTATAACAAGTAGCTATGTTTATCCCAAAAATAATTAATTAGTTAAATACCATTTTTCACATTATATTTTCGAAAGACATTTTTTTAATGACCGGTAAAGAATATAACAAAATAAAAAAGTTGACAGAAACTGAACTAAAGCAAGACATAATTTTTTAAACTCAAATAGGTTTTTTTAAATAATCGGCAGTTATGTTGAATACATAAGTCAGTGTACTGATTTCATACAACTTCGGACGATTGAATGCATGGCCTGGAATACTTTTGTTCCCCTAGATGACAGATTTGGTTCCTCTCCATATATGATGTGTGTGGAATCACGCTTTATTCCTATCATTTAGTATTCATAGCACAAACGGAAGCAGTTCCAGAGGGTAGTTTTTAGCAAACTTCGTGCATATTTTATTTTTTTATTGGGGTTTGTACTAAATTACAAATTATTTACAAACATAAGAGTAGTTGTAAATCGTCAGACATTTAGGGCAGAAATGTACTTATCATTATGTTCACTTGAGTTGACCATCTATACAGATAAATAAAATTAGTGTCTGTTTGTAATATTAAAATAACCGCTGTTTACTAAATGCATATTGATGTATACTATTATTAAAAAAATGTTATTTTGGTATATGTACCCTATATACCAAAATAACATTTTTTTAATAATTTTTGTCTGTCTGTCTGTTCCGGCTAATATCTGAAACGGCTGAACCGATTTGGACGGAATTTCACTGACAGAATAGCTGATGTAATAAGGAATAACTTAGACTAAGTAAGTAGACAAGTAAAAAAAGAAATTAAATATTTATTTAATTAGATATTTATGTTCGAATTCTACTGGCGATTTGCCATTGATTTTAATATTTTAGCCACCTACTCAAATTGGAATCGCCTCAATAGAAAGAAGAAAAAGCGTTAAGAACTTAGCATCTAAGGACATTGGCATTGTATTTAATTTCTAGTTATGGACCCAAAGTTATCGACTTATACTTATCACTAGTTATTAAAAGTCGGTTAATTAACATTATCGAAAGAAAAAAAAATTATTGTACAAACAAAAGGTGTAAAGACTGCTAATGTGATAGTGTTCAAATCACAGACACAACTTTGGATACGATTTAAAATCTCGATAGGTTTTTGTGGATTGAGACAAGCACAGAACAAGTAGATAGGACAAATGGAATTTTATGAGGGGAACGACATAAAGCTAGTTAAATACTCAAGCACTTGAGCACTAACTACAGCTCCGACGGCAACTAGCGACGACTAACGAAAATATTCAAATTTTGTTGAATATTTAATTAGTTATCTCGTGCAACGTCTATTTATTTATTGTTTTTTAAGTCTCACTTTGTAATTGAATCTGTTAAACTTTAGCTTATTAATTAAAATTATTAAAAAGTAAAAAATGGGCAAAATGCAAATACTCGCACGATTAAACATTTTTTTAAAGGGAACAAACTAAAAACAAAAACCGAAATCATTATTTCAACAGAAAGAGTTTTCTTGTTCAGCGTCGCTGTTGCTAGTGCCAAATTGAGGCTTAAGCCGGGGTTGCAGTTAATTGTAATAACCTTCTGGCGTGGTAGCAGGGGGCGGAGTGGGGTGGAGGGGAGGGTGAGGTGAGGTGAGGTGGGCCGGGGGAAGGGGAGGGCGTTGCGCAGGCGCATCGCGTCCGGCACTCGAGCACGCGCCGCCACTCGAGCGCCCTCGAGCGGCACTCGGCGCCCGCCGCGTCGAATTGAAAAGATACCTACGCCGACACCGCACTGAATATTCGCTCACGTATCAAAACCGTAAAATGCAAATCTATGCGGTGCGGCCGTCTAGAGTGCTCAGCGGGCCCCGGCTCGCGGCGCGTCCCATCAAATGCAATCCGGCTCGAATTATCATACGCAAGTAGTTAGTCAGTGGTGTGATTGTTAAGGAAGGTCGCTGATGGCGTTAATTTATTAAAACCACCCACCGGCCCCCTCGACGGTGATTTGAGTAATCGCTGTTTAAAATATAACTTATTTTTTAATAAATCATACAGTTTATTGATCTAATATTTGCAATATTTGCAATATTAAATCTAATATTACATATTATGTAATAAACCTAATCCGCATGTGTAATATAACTTAAATTGCGACGTTTGAAAGAAAGTAGTAGTACATTCAACATGTTGTAAAGACAACAATTATTCTACGTTGGTAAATACACGCCTATGCTTTCCGTGTAATATTTAGTTATAACGTAACACGTTTGTATATATATATATTTTTATTTAACATGTGACAAAAATTTGTACGTTCAATACAGAATTACGTTTGCTGTTTTGTTTTATTATAGTAAAGTAAGGTAAATGTAACAAGTCAAAGTAATCTTAAAATAGAATTGTGTAATAAATGTAAGTAAACGTAAAATGTTTAAAATCAGAAAATGTTTTAATGTTTTCTATTTTATATGTTGCGCTTAGCATACAAATGTAAACGCAATTACTTCGCAAATTACACCATTTAGGGTAAAAGGCCTTTGCTCGCATCTTTGTTTGCGAAATCTGTTAGTTTTCCTCTAATTCTGCGGATGTGTGGAAAATCAAATTACGACGTCCATCTAGCCAGCGTAATACTATCTCGGACACGTTAATGGAAAACGAAAACGCAAACAAAAGCGGTGTGACGTGTGATAGGAGCGCGGGAACGCAGGATCTTGTCCGTTTTCCGCAGACGCCACACAAACAAACACGCATACACAGAAACGTCCAATTTATAATGCGGACGAGTCACGTTGAAATGGATTTACAGATGCAAACCTGCTTGTCTTTGATGAGGGTCTATTTTGGGACTGCGGGCCGAGCGCACCGAAGCATTCCAATATTCCAGCCGATATATTATTATTGCATCGAATCTGTATCGATGGATGGCGCGTTATAAAATTTATTACTCACTCGTCTATCCAACGTTTCTTATTAGTAAACAGGCGCTTGGGCAACTTCTAGCCGGGCACTCGATAATGTTTGATGTCTCGTTAAAAATAAAATCGCTCGTAAATTGACACGAACGTATCCGTGTTACGTTAACTAATTTGTCGACTGACACGCCGAGGGACACTCCCGAAATAATTTTGCGCTCCCGTTCGACGCTATGGATAATTATGATCGGAAATTTTAATTGAGAGCTGCATTTTAAGCGTCTTGGATGTCTAGTACGGCGTTTTTTTATTGTTTGTTCCAAAATTTGATTGTATTCACATTATAAACTGCATTAGACGATATCAAAGGTACAAAGATCAAGGTGTTATTGTGATTTAATGAAAATTTTGAATTCTGATAAAAGATTTGAGTGTCGTAGATTTAGTAAGCATGTTAGTTTCGTGTAAGTACTGTAGGTAGACAAAAGTCCGCAGTGTCTTTTAGGCACGCCTACTCAGTATGCAAGCGTTTTCCTACATATCCGTTATACACGACCGCGGAAGGAGTTCTGTACACAAAATAGCGTATTTATGTTCACTTCTTTTGGAATTCTTAGTCGCTGGCGACTCTTTGTGTTGATATATTGGGGTTAGCGGTGAAAATACGGCATTGAGTGGGCAAAACATTCGGCTATAGGGATTTCGGCGTGATTCAAAATTGAATATCGACATTTCACCTCGCTCATAATATCCGCGGCCGAAACAGAGTCTGGTAGTGACTTAATGAACGAGCGGATAGCGTTGTTCGAGATATTCGCCGCACTAATCTCCATTTTAAGAACGGTCGTACAATTCTCGAGCCTAGGATTACGGAACTTGCGTGACACTAATTAAGTTGGAATTAAGAGCGAGCCTGTATCAAGAACCGCGACGGGAGTTATAAATGAAAGGGTATTATGCGCGTTTAGTTGAGCGATATAACGAGCAGGAGAAAAACCAGTACTGCGATATAAAGAGATAAATGAGAATATGTATCTCTCTTCATGTATCATTTAAGTATCTATTCTATTTTACATTTGATTTATTGACCGAGGGAAAATCTGCAAATCAACATTTCACTGCTCTCATTTTCAAACGTGCACTAACCATTGTTTTTAATAAGAGTACCTTATTTTTCTTAAATGCGTCATTAGTTTCTTACGGAATAGTTATTCATGGAAACTGCTGCATTAAGAAGTTAGAGGTGATTCGACAAAGTACGATGTCAACATAATGTTTATATAATCCTTCGGAAGAAGCGCGAGCCCAACAGAAATCCCTCTTAGTTGTAACTTTCACTAAAGTAGACAGTCACTCTTGATGGACTCTCAGCATCGAAGCCGATGGGGGTTTATTGAAACTTTTCTACTTAATTAACTTATCTATTATCGACTTATTTACGCCGCCGCGCGTTTTGATGGACGCGCATTCGATTCGGAACTCTCGACGGTAATTCGAAAAAGGAATGGAATTGGAATGAGGCATGGTTTCGGCATCAGTTGAGCGTGGTATTGGAGCTTCGTGTATCCGATGTTAAGCTGCTTCTGAGCGCCTAATCCCTTTGCCTGGCTAACGCTAGCGGTAAGGCCCGCTACGTAAATTTGTGTAATTTCGGATCTAGGCCAAGTGCCAAGGGATCGGGCCGCCTCACAGCAATAGTGATTGATATGACTCTATACCGAACATCGTCTGGCCCCGTCGCTTCATCCGCTCAGATCTAAAGCAATGAAATATATTGAGCTTACTTCACAGTGTCTGAACAGAGGACGCTTTTATATTGTATAATATCTGTTATCTTTTATTAAACAGTTAATATCTATCGATGATGTTGACGAGAGTTTAATGTTTGTTTTCAATTACAGGAAATGTGTAAGTTGAGGCCTGTTAGTATCGCTTTTATGGTTACACAGACCTGGTATTACTATAATCGAATTTAAAATCAAAAAAGTATGCATTTAAATCGTAATGAAATATTAAATAGAAAAAATTATTAAATCTTTATAACATTTTATATTTTCTTTACTGATATATAAAATATAAGGCTATATGCTTAAATTAGTCAATTTTGATATTTATATATTAAAAGGAAGAAATCCTTTAAAACGAAAAGAGAAACAAGAAATTATTATAATCAGGTTTAAATCAATTTTCCCGTAATAAATGTATACAGGGATGACGAATTAAGCCATTTTAAATGATTGAAGCGTTCCTAACACAACAGTTACAAATATCGCGAAATAAATTAATATTACATAAGAGGGTATTAGCTCATCCGACAGGCTAATCCTAAAATCCGATGAGCCCTCGTTGGCAAGGGGCAGAATCACAAAATAAAAGTGTACCGAAAGATACGAAATACAAAACCTCCGTCAGTTTTGTAAATTACAATAAACCGTGGTGTGGGTCGTGGGCGGAATCCTTGATGCCGCCACGTCCTGACGACAGTCGACTTAAACCAGCGGCCGCTCATCGCCGACACTGCAGATGGGGCCTCTTGACGTCTATTAACCGGAACATTCTCGCGATATAAAGCCGTTATTGGCCCTCCGTGAACGGCTTTCCCGTTTTAAATTGACGCCGAACAGCCCATTTCTCCTATTGCTAACATCTGATTTACGGTCACGTACGCCGTACCGCAGTAAATATGAAAGATCTTCTTGTGCCTCCGAATAGATAAGCACACGATGTCAGGTTGCGCACCGTCGGCACAGGACGGCCTCGTTATTATTGCGATGTAAATCCTAGCGACACGCAACTGTTGTTTTTTTCGGCGTTCCCTTGTCCCGATACAAACTACGTAATTGCTACATTATATCATTCATGACGAACCCAGCCGAGCCGATGTAAGCACGAATATGAATAACTAGCGGCTGCCCAAGACTACGTCTGCGTAGAATAGGGTGAAGGCGTAACATTCAGACAGAAAAACAGATATGCATAAAATATGTATTTAAATTATAGCCTTTGTCTTATTCCGATGTATAAGCTACATAATTGTAAAGTTTCATTTAAATCCATTCAGTAGTTTTTGCGTGAAAGAGCGACAAACATCCATCCATACATACAAACTTTCGCGTTTATAATATTAGTAAGTAGGTATGCCATGGGCCAAAATAAAGACCGTTTACCGGCAAACGTTGAAGTATTAGTCTTCATCACGCACAAATTTCGCCGATAAAACTATTGTCCACAGGGGTAGAGCCGGCAAGGGCGATCCTAATCGGGCTAACGCGTCCAAAAAATTGAATTCCCACCTTTTCTGCCTAGATATCTGGCTGCCACCTACTCTCCTATTTGCAGACCGGGCTCTATTTGCTTGGAGGCCGAAGGAAGCAATATCTTGGACGTCGCGACGCTGCGGGCGGGAGATGCAATAAGGGGGCGGCTAGCTGTGGAGCCGTCGCCAATTTAAAGGAAGCTCACTGAACCGAAAGACAAGCGCATTGGCGGCTCATGAGCACCGCACCCGCGTCCGTCCGCTCTCTAACGCTCCTCATATAATTTTCAATCCAGCGAGCTTTAAAATCGATTGCTCTTTGTAAGTGCAAAACAAAACAGGGGAGCGATGTCTATCGTGCGCCACTGCTAATTTAAACGTATTAATAGGGAAATTTCCACCTCAAAGGAGGAACGCGTTCTTCTGATATTTTGCGGTAACGGGTGTAATTAGTTTCATTTTAGTTATTAAATATTGCGATTTTTCTTTCTGTAGGCACTTATATACTTATTGCGTTAATAAATGCTTATAACATTTTAAGCATGCAGTTGGTTTGAATTTGTCAATAAACAACCGCTTCATTTAGATCATCGCATCTATTTACCTACTTTGTGAAATGGTAGTTAATCGGCAGTAATTATAGGTTTAAATTCGTGCGCAATCATAAAGCACTATAGCCGCAAGTGTATTGCCCAGTTTAATTTACGTCTCAGTTGCTTGAAACGCTCAAATTTCATATTTTTATACACGGCTCTGTTCTAAATCCTCAGTTGTATGAACAAGTGTTTAGTCTATGGACTTATCTGTCGCCTTTATACCTGTTTAATGAAAGGGTTGATCGTAAATCTACACGTTTAAACTTAATACGGCGTTCTATTGGGCTTTCCCCCGCCAACGGTTAGTAATTAATGTGCTGCGATCATAGAGAAAGTTTTACAACTGCGAGTATTGAAACTACATAAGTATGGAAGTTTGGACTGAGGTGGGAGCTGCTTGCGCTCAACTATAATATGAGTTTAAAATATGTTAATGAAATTTATTGTGCGCGAACCCCGAAAAGTTCAAATGTGAGCTATTCATACCAACGCACTGGAAAGGATTTCAATAATTTCCGCTTTCGATTTTGAGAACCGAATATTTAGATCAACTTTTCAACCGCATTGACTTTTTACAAAGTCATAAACAAAGACTCTTGAAACAAAAGTTAGTTATATAAGTCATAACTAATAAAGGGTTTGTTTGATATATTTCTTTAATATAAAAACATTGCAATACTGTTTAATTCAAATAATAATATAAAACGCTTTTAAAAATTGTATAATTTGAAATGAATGATCTTCATTCGAATATATGTCTAATATTTAGCATGAACTGTTGCAATATTCAAAAATAATTAACTCTGGAATGAAAAATATATTGCAAGTCATTGAAACAGATTATAGAAACTGCATTTTACGCTACTTTTAAGATAATATCAGACATCTTATTACTTATTTCGTATAATAGTTTTTAGTTATACCTTGTTATAAATTTGTGTATGTATATGTGTGTGTGTGTGTGTATTTTTAAAGTTTTCTTGGCACAATAAATGATTAGACAAAAAAATAATTATCAAATTAACATCGTAATTAAGATGTAAACCATAATTACAAAGTTTACAGTAAACAGTTGAAGCGGTGACACTAACAACGTAGCAAGCATATTTATTCTTACATATTTAAATAAATTCTTATAAATTCATGACAATAGCGGGGTATAATCAATTACAAAACCTTAAATTGAGCTCATAAGGCTAACTTTTTTAAGCGATAGAGCGTGGGAGTTACGAAAAGTAAGTAATATTACAACGCTATAGGCGGCAACTTCGATGCGATCAATAGAGGCTTTTTTTTTAAAAAAAGAATCGTCAAACGAATCTATTTAAATGGGGAACCGGGTCTAATACGCGTCCTTACGCGTAGATGAAGGTATCACTACTCGAGGAACGTAAGTATGAAGAGCTTTGAATTAATAAAGCCCGCCACAACCCCTGCTTCCCCTGGGAAGTAGTGGGCGCGCTATAATAATAAGCTTCTAAACAAACTACAAGTAATTACAACAAGAACAACCACTATTACTTCGTCAAACAGATTCAAACCATGAAGGGCGTATTTCACATTTAATTAAACGATGTCAATAAGGCCCTATATCGAATCAAATTTATGCATCCAGATTTTCTATATCAAAACGATGCATGCATGTGTGTAGTTTTATACGCTTGTAGTGTCCTTAAAACTATTTGCATAATAATAAAAATGTGTAAATAGTGATGGATGATCTGAAAACGGAGACATCGGAACGGAGGGACGCGATACGTCATAAACAGAATCACACAACTGAATGAGCCGTGCGTGAGACCTTGCAGTTTCATCTATCATCATTGTCCCGCTCTTCGATCATTAGCCGTGTTTACTCTGTTCGATAGACAAGAACATCGCATTGCTGTTAGCGTCACCAAAGTTCCGATCGCTATCTATCTTCTCATACTTAAATTCTACTCAAAATTGAAAACAAATCTCCTCTGCGTATATTCAGTAA